AAAGAAGAAGAAAGAAGAAGAAGAAGAAGAAGAAGAAGAAGAAGAAGAAGAAGAAGAAGAAAGAAGAAAGAAAGAAGAAAGAAAGAAGAAAGAAAGAAGAAAGAAGAAGAAGAAGAAGAAGAAGAAGAAGAAGAAGAAGAGAAGAAGAGAAGAAGAAGGCCACACAGCACGGCCAACATAGTTAGCTCACGGACTCAGACTTGGACCCATGCAAACACACGGCATACATACAATGGTGGCTGATCACGCACACAGCAAAACAGATTCAGAATTCGGAATGACGAGAAAAATCATAGCAAAAAGTTCAGGACCCCTAATAACACAAGTAAACCTGAAGTATTACAAAATAAGCAATCAGCTAAAAACGGCAGCGTTTTCTGAGAAGTGCAGAATTCTCGGACGGCAATTAAGCGGATCATTGCAATATCGTGTGGACCTGAGAGGTTGAGATAGATTCTGATACTAAAATCAGTCTCCAACAGTGATGAAGTTTCTGCGTCCAGAATCAGTCTCCGGAAGTGATCAACTTTCAGTGACAACCAGAAGTGACTCGTGATCGAGGATAAACCAAAGGAATGACAGTCTGCACCACTGGAATAATCAGATCCCGAAAATCTCACCACAATCGGCAGTGAAGCATATCAGACAGACACTCAAAAGATGTGAATGCATAGCACCTTTAGGTCCCCGCATACCCGTTGCATTTGTGGTAATACATGAAGTTCTACATAAGATGCTATGTGAGTGCTAGGGAGGGAAGGTACTTGGAGTGGCTCCAAGCAGTACTTCATATTTGGTGCCATGCAAGGTGCTATGCAATGCGCTGTGCTTATGCAAGGTGCTCTGCAAGGTGCTGTGCTATGCAAGGTGCTATGCAAGGTGCTATGCAAGGTGCTATGCAAGGTGCTGTGCTATGCAAGGTGCTATGCAAGGTGCTACGCAAGGTGCTATGCAAGGTGCTACCTATGCAACGTGCTGTCTATGTAAGGTTCTGTACTATGCAAGGTGCTGTCAATTCAAGGTGCTGTACTATGCAAGGTCCTGTACTATGCAAGGTGCTGTACTATGCGAGGTGCTGTACTATGCAGGGTGATGTACTATGCAAGGTGCTGTGCTATGCTAGGTGCTATGGAAGGTGCTATGCAAGGTGCTGTCTATGCAAGGTGCTGTACTATGCAAGGTGCTGTACTATGCAAGGTGCTGTGCTATGCTAGGTGTTATGCGAGGTGCTGTCTATGCAAGGTGCTTTGCTATGCCAGGTGCTTTGCTATGCCAGGTGCTTTGCTATGCAAGATGCTGTGCTATGCAAGGTGTTTTGCAAGGTCAAGGTGGGATGCTATGCAAGGTGGTATGCTATGCAAGGTGCTATGCCCTAGCATTATTTTATCCGATCTGATTCTGTCAGGATTCGAACTCATAATCTGTTTATCAACAGTTACATATGTGTCCCATGAAGCTGCATGGGCTGGGTACCAGAATCAGTGCCCAGTGGCCTTAGGCCCTTAGGGACAGCAAAGTTCTGTTTGAGACCATCCAAAGCTTCATCCACCATGAATCAATGCCATTGCAAGAAAAAATCAGAGGTGTGATGCATGGCCGGATTTCTTAGGGCATAGTCACAGTAAGACTAAGCCAGCTGGATTCAGTTGTAATTGCGGCTACCGTCTTCCCCCAAACACAATGCACCCTCGTTTTGGCTGTATCTGGCCGGAAATATAACTCGTATACATTCATTTTTAGGGTGTGTTATGTTCGGGGGAAGACGGTAGCTACATCCAAGAAAGCCCTTGTGTGAGTATGCCCCTACAAAGCAAGACATATCTGAGGGACATGGACTGCACAGTCAGCATTATGCTTTTTCTAGGACTTCCAACTCGTGAGCTCAGACCAATTCATCTCAAAGACTCAAAGATAACACACTCACATTTACTGCCAGTGCCGATGGTAGGCTACCATCTCCACCCCAATAGAATGCCTGGTCATTATAGCTCCATCTGGACTGAAAGTTGCCCCAAATACAGCTATAATGACTGCGCATTCTATTCCGGTGTTAAGGGTAGCGTTTGAAACATACATCCAGGGTACTGTTCAGTACACACATCTAAAAATGAAGTTCACAAACCCAACTAACAGCTCGTACTATTTGGCGCTGTAAGGCAACTCGCAGCAAGATTGTCTTTGCTTGTCTCATACCTACCACTAAAACGGTAAAACCAGCTCGTTTTTTCCCTGCTTATGCAGAACTTTGGCAGTTGACTCATATCTGTACAAACGCTAGTATGTACGAGTCACAAGTGAAAGATTTCCTGCTGATGTACTCGTTCGAATACACTTCTCTCAGAACCCTGCTGTCCTGTTGAGCCCCATCTACATGCTAACAATAGCATGCTGTCTGTATCTCTTTGACTGCCCTCTCCTTGACTCTACCTGACCTTTTGCTAATGCTCTGTGGCCTCTCTCTCTCTCTCTCTCTCTCTCTCTCTCTCTCTCTCTCACACACACACACACACACACACACACACACACACACACACACACACAAACGAGAATGAATCTTCCCATTTTCGTGGGAAGATGCATTCCCTTTTCTTTGTTCCCTCTCTCTCTCTCTCTTTTTGAAAAACAAAAACGGGAATGAATCTTCTCATTTTCGCGGGAAGATGCACTCCCTTTTCTTTGCTCTCTCTCTCTCTCTCTCTCTCTCTCTCTCTCTCTCTCTCTCTCTCTCTCTCTCTCTCTCTCTCTCTCTCTCTCTCTCTCT